TGCTTTCGGCGAAAATATAAAGAGAGCTTATGAATAGCGGAATATCCTGTCATCATCAACGCCTAATAAATGATGCGGATGGTTTGTCGCGCAATTTTTAACTTTTACCTGAGACGGGACAATCTTCAAAAGCGCCGCCGACAAAATTTTCCCCTGGCAAGTCTAGACAAAATCGATTAAATATACTAAAATGTGTTTTTAGTGTCAATAATTGTAAATCCATTATTCTTTCCATTAGCAAATGCAAATGTTGTTAGTTGATATGCCAATTTGAAAATACGCATATTCGATCATGAGCTACACTACTTGATAGTTAAATACAGGAAGCATTTAAGCCATAAAAGCCCAGGCTAAACAGGAATTTGAGGCAAAACTATAAATGCATGTTGTCACGTGTGCATAAAACCTGTAGTTTTTATGCATTCACTTCTCGATCGAACTTAAAATAGGAGGTTATAAAAAAAACGTTCTTCCTTAAAGAAAAAGACAAGGCGTACTTGTTTCTTCCGTCAGTCTTTGACTGCTTTTAATTGCTACAACCTTCAGTATTTCTTTACTAAAATTCTTGCCTCTCGATAATGTTGCGGCATTTTATCTTAAGAATGACCTGAAAACCCACCCGCGTAACTCATATCAATGCAACCATTAGCCGTCATGACGCACTGCTCCCGTCCTAAAAGCGTGACGCCTTGTTCTCATATACCGCCGGTTAAACATCAAGGGAATTTTCGCACTCTATTCTGATCAACGGATGAGCAAACTCGATGTGTCCTTCCTCATGCAACCACCTTTTGTGGCTTACACGCGCGAAGTCAGTTTAAGGAACATGATGGTCTGTTCCACAGACGACGCGTCCTCTGAGCAGCCTGGTTCCCGCGCATGTCAGCGTCCTCGATTGAACACCTGCAATTACATCAGTTCTGTCGCTGATACGCGGCACTAAGTCTTTTTTCCATCCGTGACCATTCCTACTTCTTTACATTGGTTAAACTGAGCTGTTCCAGGCTCTCAGATAGTCAGGGATAAGGGCAAGCCAAATGTTCGCGGGGCGGAAAAAGGAATCGCTGCCCCTGCTATACTACAGCGAGCAGATTAATGAATACTAAGCCACTGTGTTTGTCTCATTTAGAAATCGACCGGTGAAAACTGTTATGATATTTCCCCCTTGCATGAATATTTATTTTGTAGTTCACCCACCCCCACAACGTTTCTTATTGTTTCATTGCACCCTGCGAGCAGAAATTCCCAACTTGTTGAGTGACGGCAAGTGATCAAGCGAGCGAATGAACAGCTCTGGTGCTGGAAGGGTGCATTGTCCATCCCTGAGTTTTATTCAGTGGCGGATCCAGGGGAGGGGCCCGGGGGG